ACAGGTAATCATTTCATAAAATTGCTAGGGTACCACTTTTTATTTAACCTCCTGCAAGACTTTCGATCGCACTGACATTCGGTGTAGCATTCCGAGACTTCCCACCGGGTAGGAGAAGCAATAAGTGGTGCTGGATACGTGTATTCCAAGGAGGACAAGGTAGTTAGGCCTTAGCATGGTCCGAAGGCCAGCTCACGCTTACAAGGGCGAGAAACATATTAAAGTAACCACCAGACGTCAGGTGGTCACATAAACAGGGCATTATATTCGGCATAAGCCAAAGACCACATTGTTCACTTTTGTAGCATATGCTGGAGGGGCAGGAACTGGATTGGGATGCGAATCACGTGCGCTAGGACCGTGGAGAGTCTCTCTCTGAGTGATACATTCGGCCCTTCTGTATTCCAATCCCACTTCCTCCTGTATCTGTCTCTCTGATTTACCGACATGTTGAAATCCTACCATGTTTCTTGCAACGTGTACTGCAACTTAGTCGTGTAGCTATGATGCGTGCCACCAGACTTCCCCAGAGTGCACCACCTCTCGCCCAAACGAGAAGCGTCTACCTCAATGTTCTGCTGCTCCTGAGTCCTGATTTGTAGGTAGTTATACCAAACTGCACTGATAGAGGAACTTTGATTGCATGTTCCATTCGCAGAACCCGTACGAGACTGAATACTCATTCCACGTCAGCATAGCCTCATTCCCTAAGAGCTTCAATCGCATCCTGCAATCGTATGCGAGATGTTAACCTTTTGAGACCTTCAATTATACACGTCACGAAAGTGCTTCATAACTGCGCCCCTATATATGCCTAAAACGGGAAACCAAGGTATGCATTTTTGCTGCGCCTAGTCCGTACCAAATTCATAGTGCAAATTAAAGCAACTGTAGCAGATCTTACATTGAAGACAAAACTTTTACAGCCATATGGATGTGAGTAATGAGTAAGTCGGGAGCAAAAGGCAAGGATCCATCAATATGCAGTGTCTGCAGGCTCTTCGCAAGACACTCCATCACTTCTCTGACGCCTTCACGGTGCAGCTCCAGCCAGCACGCAGGAGGATACCAGCGGCGCTTCTCCTCCGCGTCATCGGTGGAGGCCGCAGCTAGGCGCTTTGTGTAGGCCAGAAGGTAGGCAAGACAGTCTGTCTCGGGAGACACCAACCAGTCAATTAGACAGTAGTGATCAAACCCAATCACCTCGAGGAAGCTTGTGAAGAGGTTGTGCGCAGACGGGATTCTCAACTTATCTACCCAGCTTTTTGCATTCAAATGAAAAGGATGTATTACATGACTGATTTCTTTCTTACAAGATCAAAGTACTGAGCTGCGCATGCACATAATTTTCTCTGTCAAAAACATTTGCACTTTAACCGAGGAATGCTCAAATCGTTACAGCAAATATCAGCACCGTAAAACGTCATTAACGATCAATGCGACTCACGACAACTAAAATTCAGAAAAGGAACAGCTAGCAGAATTTTAAAGGCGAGAGCACATACCCATCTTTTATGGCGGTATTTTCCATTAGCAAAAGAGTGAGCAGCATTCGAAAAAGCAATACGTCGTCGGAACAAAATATAGATACGAGATTATTGTCTGAAATGGCCAGGTGGTCCACGATGCTTGAATGATAACCTATAAGTTTCGGAAAACTTGGTTTATTTTGGAATTGAAAAATTAACTTGTCATTTGGGCATGAAGTAAAGCGTTTGAAGGAAAGGCTCACCCTGGGCAAACAACAAGCGCGCCATCGTGTATAGCAGAAGTCGATAGCACCGAGCGTTGAAATCAAATGGGTTTTCCTCAGAACTATGCAAATTCCAACGCGTCAAATCTATGGTACTAACAAGCGAAAGGAGTTCCCTATGCATGCGATTGTCAACAAAGCAAAGAGCCTTCGGCTTGAGTGCGAATGACCAAGTATCGTAGAACACTACTTCCACTATCTTTTGAAGAATTCCTATCAAGCTGTAAGCAAGGTTGGAAGGCAATTCTAGGATTAAGAAAATTTAAGCTTCATTTCAGGCTTTCAGTGATAAATAGCAGTTTATAGCAAGTCTTACTTGTACCGATCGTATGCATAAGCAGTAAGAGCGTTTCCTAAATGAATGAAACGTTATTTTTAATACTTGCATTGAGCATACAAGGAAGTGATGAGTTCGGGTCATCCTTTTCCAGCACTAAAGCTTTGAGACCCCTTTTCCAACACTTGAGGATGTCCTGTATTTTGAAGACAGCGTGGAATGAAATCGACATCTGAAAAGCGAAATTAAAATCTTCACAGGATTGGAGCTAAATTCTCATCAAATGCATCACTCTCTACTAATGGAAAAGAGCGCGTGCGACCATAAACCCGTATTGTACCTTGTAAATAAAAACGTCATGACTCCTGATAGAAAACTCAAGGTGCGTTCGTTTCGGTTAATTCTAGTTTAGAAAAGATTTAAAATCTTTAGTCCACTTGAACTGTTACGATTTGTTGTTGAAACCAATTTGTCTTCAAAGTGAGCCACTACATCGCAGGTCCCCTTATTAAGTAGTGAAAACGGACATTTTGTTTGGGCAAAGCAAATAACTCAAGCAAATATTTGTAAGCAATAAACAGGAAATGACGAGGAAAGCAAAAATACACACCTGATAGGGCATTTGGCGTTCAAGCTCCAACCGAATGAGCGGCCACCGGGAACTCATAGTCGTCGAAAATGATTTTGTAGGAAGTGAAACCGTTAGCAGGGCGAGTAGGCTAACAGACTCACAGTTCTTTACCTTAGCTAACAGCTTCTCGGTAACCATTTTCTAGGATAAAAATTATAAGCCGCTGACTAGAATGAATGAATAGTGGTTAAACGTTTTAGCGCAAAATCAAGTTTCCTCAAGACAAAATCAAACTTGACTTCAAATAGGTCACAAAATCACTAATTTGGCCACTTCCACTTAGCCCATATATTTATATTATAAGGGAAGGAAACTCAGGAACTAGAATTCAGCATCACTTGTAAAAGCAAACACCCGAACTTTAACCCTAAGTGAGCGCTGTGGGACAAATCCTGGAATGATTCGTAAATTAAAGAACCTCGAAAGATGAGAGAGCCAAAACATTACGAAGAAACCGTTGTGCAAGAACGAAGAGGGGACGGTTGGATGACTGCATAGCCCAAGATATGACCGTGTCAACGCAGGTTTCCAGAGATTCTGATAATTCTTCAGCGTTAAAGTACCGTGCTGCGCACATGGACGTTTTCAAACGCTCCGAGGAAAACAGATTTACATCATTCACAGACATCAAGATCTATTTAGAACAAAATGGGTAGCGGGTTAAGTTAGCCGAGTAAGAGAGGCTTTAACAAATAATCCTTCTTACAACTAACGGAAGCAGATGTGAACAATATCATGGAAATGTTTACCCAATAAACACTCCCACTTAAGCGTTCAGTTTCTGATCCCCATTGTACAGTTTTAAGAGCTGAGTAGGCAGCCATGACTAATTTAAAGGGAAAAAATATCTTATCAGGTTCCAAAACTACCGCTACATGCATTGGCAAACGATGAAGCAAACCAACGGACATGATAACGATGAAAAGACAAGGTTTTTACACAAGAAACGTCTCATTTTCCACAATGGTGTCTTTGCACAATATTGTGCTCGAATTGGTGAGACGAGTATCAATATACTACGTTTCCAACTGTATAAGAAAATTACAAACCGAAGCCCACCAAATCACAACGTACCCTAGCATAAACCGGCAAAGCATAAGTGGTGACCCAATCTCCGGTCCAAAAAGGTCCACCCGCCCGCAATACATTGAAAGATTTAACACAAACTATGTTGTACAAATAATTTTACAGCAAAATATCTTGGCTCCGAGTATTTT